TCCAATTTGCATTCTTAAAATTGAACACAGTACGCTTTGACTTTATTTTTGGATGAATTTTTAAATTGAAATCAAATTTTAATATTTTGTGGTCAGTTTCAAGTATATCATCAAAACCTTCGAGATTCAGTATTTTTTCTGGAATGTTGGTAAGCACTAGGTCAAGAATGTTATCATTCCTCGTTGGGAAATCGACCAATTGCCACAAAAAACAGTCGCGAACCGTCTTCGAGAAATAATTATGGATTGCTTCGCTAGTTGTTGGTAAACCTGTAGACCAGTCCATATCAGGTAAATTGAAGTCACCACATATAAGTATTTGATCAAACTTAGCTTTCGAAATGAGCTGCAGCGACTTTTTAATTTCTTTCAAATAAGTGAGATCAGAATTTGGTGGTCTGTAATAAACGGCAGCTAAAATTTTCTTCCTGTTCTTAGGTCTAAGTTCACAAGCAAGCATTTCAACTCCAGTTTCGAGATCTTTTCTTCGACAACTTGGTAGGGAGTCCCGCACTGCACATAGAACACCCCCATGCACCGACTCTACCAAGTCTATCCTGTCGATATATCGCAAAATCATTCACCGATAAAATTTCACAATCCAAATTTCAAGTCAACCACACCATAGACATCACATCGTTTTAGCCGAACGTAGCTTGCTGCGAGGTTATTTAAAAAAGCTTCTAACATTTATAACAGTATTCAGTTTGTAAAACGCTCAGACTTCAACAGAAATTTCAACAGCGTGGTCGAGTTGCCGCGTCGTAAATCGTAAAGTCTCTATTATTCGCTTGTAAACGTACATGATGTCATCGAACGCCATCTTGGTTGATTTTAAACTTTATTTTAAACTTTATTTCAGCCGTTACAGTGAAGCAGTTGAGTCAATTTAACATTTTCTGGTTCGTTTTTGGAACAGCTTATAGTGGATTATAGATAGTTCAATTTTACGGTTGTGGCTCATTGCGCAGGGTTCGCAAGTAACGAAGTAAAGTTACTTCGTTACATTACTTAGTAAAAAATCAGTATTTACTTGTAACGAAGTATTTTTCTAAGAAACACTTTTTACTTGCAAGGGACTGGTCGTAAAGTAACTGCTAGGGTGGGCTGGAGGTAAATCACAAATTTTGCCAATAAGTTTGGTGACCCATCTTAGGATGTAGATAAAAATTTCAAAGCCCATCTAATCTTACCAAATTTATTTCATGACCCACCCACCCAATCTAAATTGGGAATTTAAAAAATACAATTTTAGAATAAAAAACTTGCAGGAATGAACATTGTAAATATACACCGGCACTGTATTGACATACAGAATGCCACCAAGCTTGACCAACACATTCATCACCAATTACGATACTGGGCTGCTCTCCAATTGGTTGTATTTCCTGTGATTCGACCACTTCTTGTTGTTGTATAAAACAAAGTACTGGCTTCAATAGCATCATTTGCATTTGATAATTTGGATAGTTTTGTTTACTTTTATTATTTATTAATATCTTTATGTAATATATAATTAACAGGGATTTTTGTTTGGTGGCCCAACTGTGGACATACCAAAAAATTGGTGGCCCATCGAAACTGCCCACAGATTTTCCATGGCCCATCTCAAATCACTCCAGCCCACCCTAGCAGTTATTTTATGACCGGTCCCTAACGAAGTACGATCAGCTTATGATAAATATTTGCTTTTTTACTTCGTTACTTTGGTTGAACATTGGCGAAGTGAAAAAAGTATTTCTCAAAGCGAATAAAGTACGGTACTAGTCTGAATGTTCTGTTCCTGCTTTAACCTTTGCTTTGTATTAGCAAGTTAAATGGTGTGGGAATAGCAAGTTAAATGGTGTGGGAATTTATATTTTATTTGCAATGTTCCTAAGCGAAATAAAAACAGAGTGAAATTCCCTCATATAAATTACCTTAACACTTAAAAAAACACCTGCATTCCCTCATATAAGCACCTAACTACAGACCTGCATTGTCGATTTCCCTTTTGTCTCATAATACAATATTATTGTGGAGAATACTTTTTGTTTATGCATAG